CGGGGCGGACCCCTGGCAGGGGTTGGCTGAGCCTCACGCGCTCCCAGTCCGGGTCCCTGGCCCGGAAGTCGCCTTTCGCTAGTTCGTCGGCCTTCGTCCCCTACGTGTCCTTTGTTCTTCCGGGCCCAGAACAAGCCCTCAGTACCACCGGCCGCTGCTCTCTGCGCTAGCAGCCATTTAGTCCCTCGTGCCTCCCTCCAGCAATTGTGCTCCGACGCCCCCACCCCCACACCACCTCTTCTTGGTTTTATTACTTATTGTCTTTAAAAATAGCACTGCTCTGTTTGCTTAAAGGAGACTGGGGACAAAATGGAGGGAACAGCTCGCTTTCATCCTAGTCAGGACGTTGGTGTCCACCAGCCGTGGGTGGGTGGAAGCAAGGCCGGGGAGGATGAAGCACTTTCACGTCCAAGGAGAAAAATGCCTGCCGTGTGAATTTTTGATGTTCCAAGTTACCCTTCCTACGACTGCGACTGCGACCTGACGTGAGACCTGGCTGCGACCTGTGTAAGGCACGGTCCGGCCAGTTGTTCGGCAGTCAGTCCGGTTCCTTTTTTGTGTTAAATTTTTCTACTTGATCTTGTGCCTCCATTATCTAAGTACCTTTATATTTCTCGACTTGGCGTTTGAAATGGCTCGAGTTTTTCTTTTGAAAGTGTACTATTCCGGGGAATATATTCAGATTTGTCATTGTGCAGAGACACGCTGCTTCCAATTATGCTGCAGCCTGGCACATAGCGCCCAATTGTGTTAGAGATGGTGATTTAACCATCATGAACTGAGCGCTTTCGGTTTTTTTTTTTTTTTTTTAAATCTCATTGAATACCTTTCGCCAATCACGTGAAACGCACAATCTCAGAAAAAGAGAAAAAACCCACACACAATATGACTTATATTTATGTGTTTATGTGTGACAGGTTTATTTTTAAAAGGATTAGGAACCTGGACAGTTAGAAATTACATACTGCTGTAATAATTATTAGGGCATGGAAAAAAGTAAACCCGTCGGTGATATTCTTGCCAGCTTTGGATTCTCTGCTAAAATTTTTTATACACTATTCTTTGAACTCTTAGTCCGGAAGGTAATATTTAAGGTAGTAATATTCCATAAATGAATGAGGAATTCTTTTGAGGTGATTTCTAATTATGTTGTAAAGGAAGGAGAACTGGAAAAGTACCAGGTAAAATACCATTAAGTCATCCTGCTTTATTTTTCATTATGACTGAAAAAAATGCCAGTATATTTAGTGGAGATCCATTTCATTAGTCTTTGAAAATATTTTCATATGTATTATTTTATGTTAAAATAATTTCACGGTAATTTGCATGTTTAACGTTTTATATATGTACATATATATAAAGTGAAAAGTAAAAATCTCTTTTGCTATCCTTCTCAAACATAATCAACTAAGTT